AAAAAAAAAAAGGGAAAAAACTCTGATTTTTTTTACAACTGCTAGAGAGGAGATAAAGTTTGATTTTAAATTGAAAGAGGGGAGGAGATAAAGATGAAATTACGTGGATGAGGAGTTTAAATTGGCCAGATATTTGATAATCCCAAAAATCACGAGAAAAAAAAAAGATAAATGATAATCCTAATTAACTGCAGCAGTTATATATTAGGTATAATTGTAATAATTTTTACTTAGTCAAGTAATTTTATAAATAAGTATATAATTAGTATACAAGTGTAATATAAATCATATGTGGTAGTAAGGGGTGCAAATTCCTCAATTAATTTTGTTATTATAAAGAGTTTTACTAGTGTATTTTGTTGTGGCTTTAAATTATCGACATGTACGATAATTTTTACCATTTAACTACCCTTCTAATTATGTTCACTTTCATTTGGTGTGACATGTAGTTAGTGCTGTTAAATTAAACGAGTCTGACTCAGCTAAATTTGAGCTTGCATCGAGTTCGATGCCTTAACGAGCTGAGCTCGAGCTTATTTAAAGCTCAATTGCTTGACGAAAAGAGCTCGGTTCGGCTCAGTAAGGCTTGTTAAGGCTGATAATAGAATTTTTATATAATTTTTTTATAGTTAGGCTTGTTAAAACTCGAGGTCGGCTCGATAAGGCCCGAACTCGAATTTTAGCTCGTTTACTTAACGAGCCGAGCCGCTCGAGTCGATAAAGCTTGTTAAGGCTCGAAAATAGAATTTTTATATAATTTTTTTATAGGGCTCATTAAAACTCGAGATCGGTTCGTTAAGGCCCGAGCTCGAATTTTAGCTCGTTTACTTAACGAGCCGAGTCCCTCAGCTCGTTTACAGCTCTACACGCAGTTATATCATGAATCCATGATCTTGATTTGACTAGGTCTTATGAAGCATTTCATAAAGGCAATTATACAACATGTACGATCATTTTACCATTTAACACCTTCCTAATTATTTACACTTTCATTTGGTGTGACATGCAGTTATATCATGATCTTGATTTGACTAGGTCTTATGAAGCTAGCATGCGGTAAAAGTCATAAAACAATTCTACGACAACATGTACGATAATTTACCATTTAATTAACTACCCTCCTAATTATTTTCACTTTCATTTAGTGTGACATGCATTTATATCATGATTTGATTTTACTAGGTCTTACGAAGTATGCGGTAAAAGTCCTAAAGCAATTTGACATGAAATTTTTCCATGATTCTGCAAATCACCCATTTGCATGCTCAAATTTTTACTGTTGAGAATTAACTATGGGAATTTCATAGATTTCGTCCGAACTTCACTACAAGAAAAATGCTTAGGAGGAACAACTAGATATTGTGCCTAAAACCACTGAATTCGTGACTATTAGTGTATTGCAATGAAACGTCGTTGCATATAAGTCGTGCCAATAGACGTGTTTCTATAGATATATTGACACGCTAAAGTTGTTGCTACATATGCAAAAACAATAGGCACGACTTTATTTGTGCCTATATTGTTGTGTATTTGTTAGACTTATTGGAACATTAAGTTGTTCCAATTCTTGGGTTGCTATAAACATTTGGAATCATAAAATTTTGTTTCAAAAAGTGCTTTTAAAGCAATAAAATTATTGCAGAAATTCTATGACCTATGTCAAATTCAACCATTGAAACTAAAATGAAAGTAAAATAACAAAAATGGAGCTCAAATATTTGATTCACCAATCAAGTAGATCCATACAAATTATTGTAACCAAATAAATATATGTTCAATTGGTTACGTGAGTTCAAAGAAAAATAATGAGAAGACAAAGTGAAGTACAATAAGTCTCATATTAAATTAAAAACATGAGAATCAAGCATGTTTATCTCCATCACGAGCCAAATCCACATTGCCCTCTCACTTATTCTCTTTCACATCATCTTCGGTCCCAACTTTTGCCTCAAGCCGATGAATTGTTTGGAAATCCTTGCAAGCTAGAATACAAATAATAATGAAGAAGACATTACAATTAGTCTAGTGTTATAAGGAACAAAAGCTATAGCATTATAATGGATAAAAAATTAAAGGCCAAATATAAACTTCCCAGCTCCACCACTGTATAGTTAAGAAAACGAAACAGTTATATATCAATATTCTAGTGGTATGATTTGATAATGCTTTAATAAAACATGAGATTCTATTACACAAATCATCAACCATAAGCTATATATTTCTACCTCATATACTAGAAAAGTAAAACAATTAGCATTCACAACTAAATCATGGTGTATAAATTATCTTAGAATAAGCTCAATTGAAAGAATCAAAACATTCGTAGAATGTTCAATAATGAAATAATATCTTCCTGATCACCAAAGATACAAACTATAATGTATATTATATAAACTAGTCATATACGAGGCAAAGACATTGTCATTACAGCCCATGTCAACTCTGTCATTTTAAGATGATTTATGATGTGCATTATCTTATATTACCTGGTACGAGTGTGCACGAGTGTGCATCACAAATGTACGATAGCATCCACATATCAACTCGGCCATCTCCGTTTCTGAAGAGCGTAGGCTCACAAACAAAAAGATGAGCTTTCGGATGGGACATTGCAGAAATATTTCAAATAGAAATCCCAAGTATTTTTTAGCGAACACATATGCATATACATTCCTGATATTAGACCCCAAGTTTAATTTGGTTTCCAAGATTCAGGTTCAAGAAATGGAGAAAGAAATAGAAGACAGAGCTCATGTAAAGCCA